GCTCCAAACCATGTGCCAACTTGCACGACGGGCTGAAATTGAAACTTGAACAAAGCTTAAAGCTTCTAAAAATAATCGCAAGTTTGTTTAAACTCTTAAAAACAAATTTTATAATAAACAAATCTTTGATACCGCCCTATAATGATAAGTTCGAACTAAATTTGACACTAGGGGTCTTGTCTGGAAGTGGAAAACGGCATGTCATCCCATCCTCGTCGCCATTCTGTAGTAGCTGGAAAGCCACATATCAAGGGTCGACTCGTCGGCAGGCCTCGCCGTTGTTTTATTCAACAGATGACATGACAAATGACAAGCTTCAGATCTATCTCTTATCTAGCTTTATTATCCCGAAGAAGACAAGACTTCTTTCAGTAGAAGTAAAAACCCTGAAAAATTACATTAAGTGAGGTGACAATTAAGTTTCTAACAAAGTAATCGGTCTGATTTATAAATATTATTAAATAATAAATTATACAGATAAACCTACCCCAGTGCCTTTGGCCTCCGTTATTTAAGGATACACAAAACAGCACAGCTCACAGCTTGGAGAGAAAGCCCTCGAACTGGTCTACACGTCGCAGACTAGGTATGTCTGGCTATGCCAGGCTCAGCCAAAAGAAAAGTTATCGTCTTGCACTTCAATAATAGTACGCCAAAACAACGTTATCTCCCTACATCTGCAGCATGCACTGGCTTTTGTGCGCTGTGTCATATAGGCCCCAATGTATACATTTGCCACGCAATGTATACATTTGCATCCAAAAAGTATGGCGTGCCTAAGCACGGGGTGACAAAATACGTTTTGATGATTTTCAAATTATTATGAATCGCCACATTAATATTAACAAACTGGAAAGGAAATGAATATTTTCGAGAAGGCGTGGACGAATGATCGCGAAAACACGTCCTGCACGTTGTGAATAACAACACCAAGTACACGATATAAATCCATTTCTAGCCAATTGCGGTATCGAATCAGGATGCAGGAAGGAAGTTTCCTATACAGGGTTTACTATTTAAACAACGTTGGAAATAAAGTAAGCACTGGGGACGAGCTTGAGTCGGTATTAAACCGATTACTTCTGCACCTTGCCAACTCGGCACCTTGCCGGCACAACAATACAGGTCCACTCCATTCAGGGGTCAGACAAGTCGACCGTTGAGACAACTCGACTCGGGACAAGTCGACCGTTGAGACAACTCGACCGTTGAGACAACTCGACCATATGTGCGATAAATGGAAAGACAAGCCGACCGTTGAGACAAGTCGCCTTGCATGTTTTGGGGCCTAGTTTTGGGGATAGTACCGGGGATTTTGACGGCGGCTGATCGCCGTCTGGGAGTGATGACACAAAAGTTTTGGGGTTTTTTTGGTTGCATATAACAGAGCTGATATAGCGCAGCATGTTGTCCGTGCACATCGTTCGTTTTTTTCCGGGCCTGTGCGCGCAACCCCGGTCAACTTGGCCGTACTGTGCAAGGTGGCATCGTTTTTGCCGGGCCTGTGCGCCCATTTGCCGGTCAACTTGTCCGTACCATGCACGGTGAGTCGGTGACATCGTTTTTGCCAGCCCTGTGCGCCCACTTATCTCATCCCCAGTCGGTCAACGTGGCCGTACCGTGCACGGTGACATCGTTTGTGCTGGGCCTGTGCGCCCACTTGCCGTACCTGCGTGCTGGGCCGGGCCCGGTCCTCGCGGGCAGGGCGCGCCGGCCCGACGCGACGGCCACCGGATTGGAGCGCCCTCTGTGCATCGAGTATATGCCCGTGCCGCACCCGGGATTGGTCCTGCCATGCAACTTTTTCCGCTCCACGTGTATACATTTCCATTAAGTCAAGCTGTCTCAACGGTCGACTTGTCCCGAGTCGAGTTGTAACAACATTTGCTATTGTGTCTGTGGGCAAAATGCTTCGCGTATTACGCGAACGCTCACCACGGGCTAGCCCCATAGGCCTAAATGTGGCCAATTTACCTCCGTAAATAAAGGCCACACTTCCACATGTACAAAAACGTGTCGAACTTTGTCAAATTTTGATTTTCACATTTAGGCTTAGTTTGTAGGTTTTTTTTGCTTTAGAAGCATACTCACCCTTTTTATAAGCTAATCTAAAAGTGCTGCCTTTTTCAGATGTCTAATTTTTGTGAAATTTTATGTTGAAATTTTTGATACGCAAAAGTGTGCAAATGAAATTGGAAATTATGGGGGCATATGCGAAGTTCACTAATTTTCCTCTGTATTGACTAACAAGCCCCCAGATAGCAATTTCATGTCATCAAAGTCAATTTGAGCAGTGAGAAAATACAAGCATTTTCTTAGAAAACACTTACAATTTTTCAGTCCACTCTCATAGGGTTTGTACACAGAGTGTTGAGTGAACTTCGTATATGGAAATCTTTCCATTATGGGAATCTTTTCATATCGAGAATCAAAAGTATTTCTTTCGTTATCTTCGAAAGTTAAAAGTGTAGTGCTTGACGAGAATGTCGCACTTTGCCGCTGACCGATAAAGCGTAGCGTGTTTTCGCGTGGGGCAGACCAGGCTATTGTACGCACAATCACTGGTCAACATGACCATCTGTTAAATCACTTGTGCCGCCGCAGTGTAGCCTGGGTGTGATTGCTAAAGCATTTTTTTTTCTTAGGTTAGCTCATGTTTGTTGTAATTTGAAATGCACTTTCAAAGAAAATGTGACTTTCCTACCTCTTTTTGCCGTCAGAGACGTGAGACCTGCACGTTGTAGTTCTCCCAGTACGCATGAAAGCCTGACACAATGAAAGCCTGATGTTGATTGGCTGATAGAAAAACCTAGAAAAAGTTTTTGTTATCATCCAATCAGCATCGAGCTTTTAATTCGGGCGATTCACAATGCAGTGCGCCACCAAGAGTTTGCCATGGAGAAATAATTTTTTCTAGTGCAATGCATGCATTGTGGGAGATGGCCGACAAATGCGCAATGCGGGACATTTGAAATTGTTAGTTTTTCCGGCCAGAAAGTTCATAAGCATATGATTCAAGTATCTGTTTGCCTTTTTCTTTTTGTTTTATCAATATGGAGTTTTTTGTAAGGTGGCAGAATGCTTTGCCCCAATCTTTAACAAATTACCTTGTCGCCCCCCCCCCAGTCGCCCCCCCCCCACTTAGATTTTGAGTTTCTAAAAAAATTATCATTGATCTAAATCTAAATAGTCGCGAATGATCCACATGATGACCACTGAGAAACGACCCTTCGACCGGCGACCGCGGACCAGTAAGCTGACAACCGGCGTGACATAGGCCCATAGCGCATAATGATAATCTAAAATGCGTATTAACACCCACTGCACTGCTCGCTCACACCACGGAACACGTATTGTAGACAGGTGGTCCGTGGGTCACACAGTTTCAGTCAGCGATATCACGCGAATCGGCCACGCACAAACTTTTTCCTCCATTCATATAAGCTAAATAATAATAATAGACCAATTAAAATTCCTTGAAATCAGTGGCGTAGCCGGGGGGGGGGGCGTGGGGGGGGGGCGACAGAGGGGGGCCCCATTAAACCTTGTCGCCCCCCCCCCCAGTCGCCCCCCCCCCTGAGATTTTGAGTTTCTAAAAAAATTATCATTGATCTACAAGACGCCATAGGCGTCAATCCTGGGGGGACAGGGGGACTGGTTCCCCCCCCCCACGTTTTGAAGGGTGGGGGACACAATAAAGTTTTGCTTTTTGAAGGGTGGGGGACACAATATCAAATGTCCCCCCCCCCCAGATTTTTGAACTCGTGTCTCATTTACAGGGCCCTATTATGTACTACTACAATGTATCTTTCCTTAGAAAATATTGGTTAAAGTGGTCAGAAATTGTATCAGATAGCACCACAGAGCATTTAGAATCCAAAATTTTTCAGAATTCTGGTAGCTGATTCAATGACTCCAACCTCGAAAACACTGTTCAACAAAATTTCTTTTGCCTTTAGCTGAGAAAACCTCGAAAATTATGTTTACATTATTATCTTTTGTGCTAAGATAAATATTGGTTAAAGTGGTAAGAAATTGCCTCAGATCACACCACAGAGCATCGAGAATCCAATTTTTTTCGGGGCCCTTAAGCGGGCCCCGAACCCTACACCTATAGCTCAGAATACCGATAGCTGATTCAATGACTCCAACCTCGAAAACGATGTTCAAATAATTATCTTTTGCTAAGAAAATATAAGTTAAAGCATGGAAGAAAGTGGTAAGAAATTGCTTCAGATCACACCACAGAACATCTAGAATCCAATTTTTTGGGGGCCCTTATTAAAGCGGGCCCCGAACCCCCACGCCGTAAGGGCTTCGCGCTCGCATCAGTTCTGATCAAGGTATGGTCTCCCCCCCCCCCACTTTTGAGAAGCGATTGATACCCCTACATGACGCCCCCCCCCCATGAAATGTTCCAGCCCCCCCCCCCCCCCCCCCCCCCCCCCACTGAAAAATTCCTGGCTACGCCACTGGTGGTGTATGAGAGCCTCAAACTTAAGGTATTCAAAACATGCAATTCAAGAAAATAGATTGTGAAAAATATTGAAGAAAAGTCTCCTTTAAAGATTGACTTGAGTCTTCTGGGTTGGTGAAATACTGAGGACCTTTTTTGGCCACATCAAAAACTTTGGAGAATTTTGCTGGCTTAAGAGTGAGTGAGTACAATTGAGCACTCACGGTCGAACACTGGAGCCTCCCCATGTCATGAACCTAAAATGGTTCACAGTGGATTTAAAAAGAATATTTGATAATTGTCAGCAGAAGCTAGAATTAGGAACAGGGATATTTCAAACTTGCAGAAATTTCATTTCCATGGAATTTGGGAAACAATTTTGCTCAAGCAAGGTGCCGCTTGTAAACAATCCAAGTGCACTACATTATTAGGTGGTGTCAACAGTTCCTAAGCATGGGCGTGTAGACATCCAAGACATCCCCCATGATGTCATTGTGAACTACTAAACTAACAAAAAAACTTCTGTCTTTTTTGTTTAAACTAGAGGGCCTAGATGCCGAAAAAAACAGATTCCAAGTGGAGCTTGAGTTCGTCCAGTGTCTTGCTAATCCACATTATTTGAATTGTAAGTATTCCAGACCATAACATTCAGACTGTTTGACTTTTGATCAACTTGACTGGCAACTTCTTGTCACGCACAAGTCATAATATGTATCACTACACCTCATAAATGTTCATGATCAAATTGGACCACATCATTGGCCGATTGTGCTGCGCATCCGGGAAGTAAAAATGACACCGCCCAGGTGATATCAGTAGTGAAGCCCGTCTAACCAGGATATTTTCCCCATTTTTGACGGGCTCTCGACCAATCAGAAGTCCGGATTTGGCCCCCACGTGACCCTCATTAGCATAAAATGAGCAACGGGAATCTACCATTCACCACGGGGGAGTGTGACGGGCGGAGGGGCTTGCGTAAATTTAAATAATAAAGGCGCGTACCATTATTACGGTATCGAATATTATACGTATCACAGCAGTGAAAACAATACGATGTACATAGGGACAAATACATAACATAAATTTACGTATAGTACAGTAAAAAGCCCTATATACATCTGAATTGAAGGGATTTTTCAAGCCGCATATCATACTCGTGCCTGTTTCCACTCTATCATAATAGCCTTTGTACTCGAATGGGGGAATCCAGTGACGTCATAGTGCTGACTCATCGAATGATGACAAACAACCGGACAAGTCCGGTCATGTGCATTGTCCGCGGTGTTTTTAAAATCTCCCCGTATGGAATCGTTGTTTGTGGCCGCATTGCTAAGAGAACGTTAGATACATGTACTTGTATATGCCTCGCTGTGCGTCAATGCTGAGCTTGAGATTTAGCGGTACCGAGGAACAATTTTGAGCAGAGTATTGAATTATGAAGAATCTGACCGCTGAGTTGACGACTCAGTCATGGGAAGCTGATAAAAGGATTATCGTCACCGTTATATAATCGCTTCAATAACAACCTGCATTGTGAACATATCCAAGCCATGAATGGATTCGGGGGCCATCGCTTAATTATGATGTCATTGCACTTATTTGCTGGTCGGTTTAGTGCACGTGGAGCGTTGTACTGTTGATGAGGGATGACGTATGGGGCCAGGTAGTCAACAGATAAAGCAAATAATAAGGAATGGGTATTAAGATAAATAAAAGGAAAACATTTCACACTGATGATTTTCAAGGATTATTTGAGAATTTATTTATCATTATCATGCATATAACTTTATATACGTGCACTAATATTATGCAGTCATCATAAACTGCCCATTTTATAATTTCAGACCTGTTTCTAATAATATTGTCTTTTGTACCTGACATATACCGGTTTACAATACACTGTCTATTTAAAGCCACATCGTATATAGAACCCACACAAGTTTAAATCTTCATGCATGGGCATGCTCTTCTTCTAAGCCATAAGGGATAACTGTATAAGAGTGATAAGGGGAGACTATTTCAAATACTATTTTTTTCCTATAAGACACTGCTAGATTATTTTAAAAAATGAGTAATCTTTTTGAAACTACTAGTCTTTAATCATCACTGTCTTCATCGTTTTCTTCATCCTCATCTTGTTGGAACAATCCGTCAAAAGTGTTACGGTATCTAGGCATAATTCTGTTCAGAGCAGTGTTCAATTTCATGCCCGTAATCAATTTTCGTTCGATATCTTCCACAATTTCTTGATGAGTGCCACTGTCTTTCAGATATAGGTAAAAAATCCTTGTATTTGTTGAAAAAGATTCGCTCGACTGCCCACATGGTCTTCCTGTTGGCCTTTTCCTTGGCCTGATCTTTACTCATATCCTCGTTAATGTACTTTTCATATTAAATTTTGTCACTCCACATCTCCTGGGTGGCTTCTATGGACTCTTTCAACCAGTCTCGATATGCGGTGTTGTCTTCCAAATCAGAACTAGACTCGTCTTCATCAGATAATTCGTCATCTTCCACCTCCGTTTCGGATTCCGAATCATCGTCCTCAAGATCTTCGTCTTCATCATACGTAGATTCAGCTTCATAGTTTTCCATATTATATATAGATCTTCAAATCTACGGCTTTGCCAATCAGGTTCAGAATGATCCTCCTCAACTTCATCTGTTTCAGAATCATCTACAGCATGTACATTGTCTGCATGCCTCTGTAGGTTATATCTCCGTCCGAAGCTTTTGTCACACATGTGACAAGCATAAGGTTTGACTGCAGAAATAACATTCATGTTGCAGTTTTGAAGGTTAAGCTCCGAATGGTAAGAAACGGATAAAAACGTTTAATATATAAGTCACTGCTCATCTGCTCAATTCATTGCTCATTTACTCGTGAGTAACTACTTTCTGCTCATCTTCTCATTTCCATTGCTCATCTGCTCAATTCATTGCTCATTTACTCGTGAGTCACTGCTCATCTACTCACGAGTCACTGCTCATCTACTCAGTTTCATTGCTCATTTACTCGTGAGTCATTGCTCATCTACTCATGAGTAAAATGAGCAACGAAATTTTTACTTTGAATTTTTACTTTACTTTGATGTACAGAAAAAAAATGTTCTCACGACAAAAAGTAGTAGCGCGCAGTTCCGACCCGACGCAATCGCGATGTGCCGACGACCGGCACGCGACCGGGGAAACACGGGACACTCTGCACTGTCATGATTGTGTCGGCCAATGCATTTAAGTTTCTGTGCCCCTCAAAAGCTCCCTTTTATGACTCTTTTCTTATCGGACAAATATGTGGCTTTTATAATGGTTTAATTGTTACTTCTGTCAGCGAACGATGTGTGACTTTTACAGACAATTTCATGATTGTTTATATTCTGTTCACGAAAATGTGAAAAAAATAAACATGTACACATGTACATATTTGTCCTAGTCAGCTAGTACTGTAGTAGGCTTAGCTAGCTAGCCTACTCCATTGTTTTACTCATAAAAATAATTGCGAAGTCTTATGTGGGTTTTTTTTCTCCGTCATCAAACAATAAATATCTCTATCTTACGTTTCTTCTTCTCTTGATAGATGTCATCAAAGAGCATGTAAACACACTCAGATTCCACTCATGCAGGGATAAGAAACACTTCCCTCTCTGGACTCAACTGACCTAACGGCAGGATTTCAAAGTAAAATCATCGACTACAGTCTGCAGCAACCACTTTAAATACGGCCAGCCATATCCTGATGAACTTCACCCATCTTTATTTTTGAGAGGATACGACCTTCCTGAGACACTGAAAAGAGCACCGGTGAAGAGTCGAGCATTGGATCTCACTACACCACTGCCGGCCATCTGAGAAAATCAAAACCTTGCTGTACCTTTTCTTAAGTTTTTAGCTGTTTCGGTGTACACACCGAAACAGCTCTTGTTTTCGTTAAGATTTTTTTTTTAGCTGTTTCGGTGACACACCGAAACAGCTCTTGTTTTCGTTAAGATTTTTGGCTTTTTCGCAAATTTGCGAAAAAGCCTTTGTTTTTGTTCTCATTTTTTTTTTGGCTTTTCCGCAAAGTTGCGGAAAAGCCTTTCTTTTTGTTCTCCTCCTCCTCCTCCTCCTCCTCCTCCTCCTCCTCCTCCTCCTCCTCCTCCTCCTCCTCCTCCTCCTCCTCCTCCTCCTCCTCTCCTCTCTCTCTTCTTCTTCTTCTTCTTCTTCTTCTTCTTCTTGAATATTTAATATTTACCATAGACTTTGTACACAGAAATTAAAAAGAAATTGTCGATTTTCAAAGGGCATTTTCGACTATTTGCCAGTAATTCATTTACACCAATCTTTGTCCAAGGAAAGACCCTAACTCAAACAGCATTGTGTAATGATGACGTCATGATGACGTCATCCGGTGTTTATTAATGGGCAATTAAATTGTGACACTTTTAATATTTAAAAATACATAAGAAATCAACCGTATGCGTCCGCAGCATTCTGTTGCCGGCAGGTGGTAGAGTAGGTTGAGGTCTTTATTTCATTTAGTGTGCGTGAAATCACGTGACCCTTGCTTCCTGTCGAAAAAAGCCAAAACCGGAAGTGGCTTATTATTTAAAAGGGGTAATAGATATGAACTTGCTTTCAACGGTGTTAGTCTCTTGGCTGAGCGTATTCTTCAAATCATCTACAGATGACGTCATGCAATCTTTGATCGCCCTCTAGCGACAGGTTGAACATTTTCAAAAATGAATTTTGAATAGATGTCCGTAACGAAAGTTGCTGGAATCGCCTAAAAATTGGTGTATATGATGATCTTGACCCACTTAAGACGTGTGCAAAGTTTTAGGCGTATGACGTCATCAGACCGGAAGTTCCGTTGAAAAGAACTTTCCTTTTTCAAAAATTGCTAACAAATCAATCCGTACAGATATAATCTTGAATTTCCTATTAAATAATAGGGTTAACATTTGCCTCAACAGTGCCAAGTTCCCAGCTTGTCAAATTGTTCACGCAGTTGACGCGACGTCGGCTAAAAATACCCTTGCGCAAGTTGCGGTAGAGAGCTTTAAAACATGCACAGGACTTCCACGATGTGCATATGACATGCACGTACGTTGTACATATATGTACGCACATACATCGTATGTAAGTCAGCCCGGCCGCATGCAGCGCACGTGTTGCCGAGGTCTAATCCTGTCCACAGTGACCGTTTTAGCCGATTTTCGGCTAACTTTGACAGATTTTATGTTCATGCTTCCTTATAATCTGAAATTCATTGAATGTAATTTTTTTTCTTTTTTTTTTTATTTTTGAACTTTCAGCATTGTTTTCCAATGAAATACACTTTAAACTTCAAAATGATTTCCACACAATGAAACCACAGCCTGTGGTTAAACCGAGGTGTGCTTAACTTGAAAATGAGAATCTTTAAAGAACCTGCATTGTGAAATGTAAGGACGCCCTCTTGTGGCTGAATAAATTGTCTGCGTAATACATACATGAAGCTGTACATGCAGATATCACCGCTGGTTTTTTTTATTTGCGTCGTGTTTGGCTGGAGGTTTTGGGTCCGAAAACTAGAACAGTGTATTCTCAAACTGAACGATTCCTTAAACTTAACAATAGAGTAAGACGAAAGTTGTTTACGCGGTGCGCAAAACTAACGTGGCTTAAAGTTAGCAGACCAGTAAATAAACTTTTATAGACCCCAATGGTAAATGCTCACACTTCAGAAATTCGGGAAAATACTCACTCTCCAACGTGTTCAAGACACACATCAAATTAAAGCGTATTTCATCATCTTTCATTTTCTTTTCAATTTTTTTGGGGTTGAATGACGAGTTTTAAAAGATGCTATGAAACAACATACACAATTTTTTTATGAAACAACGCAGATTATAAAATGGCCATGGACTTTAATGGGTTAAAATGTGATATAACCATATCCTATCTGTGATTAAAAAACACAACACATTTTTATTTGTATAATTTTTTTATTTGTATGAAAGCATTTTCTTTAATATAAAACAATAGTATTCTACCAAACAAAATAGCAAAAATGTTTCCTCAAAATTCCATAAATTATTGTTCCCTGAAATCCTTGAAAATGTCATGTTTTGCATTGTTTACGATATCTTGCTTGAAACATCCGGTTGATGTGCGCAGAGGGTGAAACGTTTACAGCTGGAATCTCAACCAGCACTGAACACACATATTTTGAGGGTTGCAAAAGTGCCCCCCCCCCAGGTGATTTTCAATGGATGTTTGTGTAGTTGTTTATATCCCAAGCACTTAACACCATTCGACTCAAAATGCATTTTGTAGCCCAATTGCGCATTTGCCAGGCTGCAGTGTCTCTTTAATGAGTTTAATCTATAAATGATATTGTAAACAAATACTTAAATTAACATAGACGAAATGACGCAAAAGTAGGCAATTATCTCGGTAGCAATTCATAGCTTAGCCAGTGTCACAGTCTTACTTATAATGTGCTCACTTCTTCACAAACACAGTGCAGTGAGCACACGCAATAAGGTTGGCGATAATGTACAGCCGCAGCACAATTTTGCACGTGCGTATTGAAGTTAAATGTCCCTTTTGGAGAAGTGCGCACACCTGATAAGTGAGACCATGACACTGGCATACTTGGTGCGAACATGAATCAGCCAATGCTTGATAATATCACATTTTCATAGCAATCAGACAAAGTATGCACGGGCATTAATATGCTCCCTCCCTCCCCCCCCCCCTACACTCACCCCTCCCCAAAATTACCAAATATTTATCCACAATCATATTTTATGTAATTCAATACATTTATGATCACAATCACTTATGTATTGTGCTATGTACAAGGAGAAAGCCCATTTTAACGCCGTACTTTGCACGATTTTTATCATAATAATAGCATAATCATTGCAAACAGTATTGCATGTACATGTCACAACCACTCTTGTGGGTACTCTCTTTGCCAATAACACCAAAGCTTTGAATATCTTGGATAAAAATTAGCATTGAATTGTTTTTCTACCAAGTAGAAATGGCATTAAACAGTCCTTGTTGCCCTTTATCTTACTGTTTAAATAAAAAAATTGGTTGGGAAAATGTTTTGACCAACTTTTTCAAGGAACAAGAACAATTGTTTTGCCCTTAAAAACAACTGCTTTCTCGATCTACTCTTGACCGTGCACAAAAAAGGCATGCTACTAGTATAGAATAACCTCAAGCAGCCAACTAACTCTTCCAGAGGACTGGAATAGCTAGTTGACTATATGAGCTAATTGCAAGTCCTCCAAATAATACGAATGTTCAACAAACCACCGTGACAGGTTTATTATGAGTGTTTCAGAGTCTCTTTGTTCATATGGTGGTTCCTCAAGGTTCAAGAGAATGCTAAATGTGTAGGTTGTAGCAGCATAAGACAACTTGCAATCCAATACTGGCTGAGACTGTAAAAGCACAATAACTCCACATATCTGGAGGTGTGACAGCAGGATGTTGCTGACAGAGTGGGAACTAGTAGGTGCTGAGAATGTACAAGCACACAATAACTCCAAGTGCCGGTAGCTGGACAGGATGTTGCTGACAGAGTGGGAGCTGGTAGGTGCTGAGAAAGTACAAGCAAATAGTAACTCCGAGTACCAATAGCTGGACATGTGACAGCAGGATGTTGCTGACAGAGTGAGAGCTAGTAGGTGCTGAGAATGTACAAGCACACAGTAACTTCAAGTACCAGTAGCTGGACATGTGACAGCAGGATGTTGCTGACAGAGTGGGAGCTGGTAGGTGCTGAGACTGTAGTGACAGCAGGATGTTGCCGACTTTGGAAGCTGATAGGTTTGCATATGTCTTTCCCTGAATAAAACAAAACATGAAATGCTTGATCATAAACAGCACTCTACACAAATTATGCATGGTAAATTTTTGGCACAACAAATCTTTGCAAACTGCTCAGCAACTATTGGACACGATCACTTCAAGTTGCATTTTACTGAAAGTGTAATATTATTTCTAGAAATGTATTCAAGGCCTTTTTATGTCAGACTCCACATGCCAAGTGCAATCGTTGTCCAAAGTACAAACATTATAACCTTTTTAAAAAATCAGGAAAATACAACATTTGCATACATCACAAAACAAAACTACCAAATTAGTATGTGATACCTTACTGGACTGTTGGTAAATGACAGTCTAAAGCATCCTATAAAATCATGTCACCTTGTATGCCATCATTTTTAAGATAAGTGGTATTTCTGTACAATTTCCAACACTAATTGACCGACCAGCCTTTGGAAAATCTGACTCTTTTCACATACTGTCCCAAATTTACCGTATTTAGTCAGTCCACATTTTCTTTGCAATCAATGATATAACCCATGAATGGCTACAAGCTAGCCTGACTGTCACCATTCAATTTCAGTGGGGTCAGGGAACCAGCTTACAAGGTCATGATTGTTTTTCTTGGTTTTTCCAGCATCTACGAACACAAAACTTTAAAACAGTCAGTACAACAAAATTACAGAAAAAGCAAACGTTGTATATTCCCTTTAATGACTACATGTACTTGTGTTTTAACACCAAGAATTGCTATTTTCATTTGGCAGGATATTTTTACTTGTGGAAGCTTTTTCACACTGAAGTATAAATTTATACATTTTTTTGCGTAAAAGCTTTTATAACCGTTATTCTTATTCAGGCAGTTTTTAACTTTTACATCCGCAATCATGCAACATTTAATGTGACAATCACAACAGATTGTCAGTTAAATATCTACTCACCTGAACAATACTGTGCATGTATTAGCATGTAGAAAGT